CCCCCACACACACACAGTTGACTTGATGATAGGCCAGTGCCATGGGTCTTCAGTATCATCTGATGAAGCTTTGCTTTTAATATGAGCTTAGTCAAGGAGCCTTTGTCTGCTGGGAGAGAATTTGGAGAGGCACTCTGCTGTCTCCATTACTGGTTAACAGGTGTCTTTAGACCCTTGATGTTACCATCTCCTCATTTGGTCAGCCCCAGGTATGGTCACATACCTGATGAAATGGGTCTGATAGTGTTGTGATTGAGTCTGTCCACAAAAGTATTACTTGATCTTGAAGTTTGATATTCTCACCAAAGCTGGCAGATTTAGAGCATCTGTCTTAATGGATGTTCTAAGAGTTTGTTGCTCTTTCTTTGTAGTTTTAAACATCATTTGGGGAAGTTTTGCTGTCTGGCATTAATGCTGCTGCTATTTATTCTCTGTGAATGTTGTTCATAGCTGCTAGCCTCTGTGTGGTTTTGTTGTTTCATTAGCCTTATCTTTGTAAGCAGCCTATCTTAAACATCGCACCCCATTTTAGAAAGGGAAATTGATAGAGAAAAGTTTGGTCATTCAAGCTGCCAGTAAATTTGGATAGATGCCTGTTAAGTGTTTAATGTTTTTATCCAGTTAAGGATACTCTTTTCTGGGCTGGGGAGATGGCTCAGTAGAATAAGCACTTTCCCTGGCAAGCGCTAAGGGTCTGAGTTCCATCCCCGGTTCCAAAAAAAAAAAAAAAAAAAAGATACTCTTCCTTGGACATTTTGTTTAGATTCTGGGACTAGAATGTAATGGAAAAATTCCATTTGAAGACAGTAGTCAAAATCTATTCTTCAGTTGGCATAATTTGCATTTATTTCATTGGTCACTTCTCCAGGTGGCCCTAAATCAGCCTGATGGAGTAAGACATTCCAGACACTCACCTTTTGGACCAAAGCATAGTTAAAATTAAAGTAGCTGGAGTAGCTAGCATTACAGCTATCCTGTTCCTCACAGGTAACCCAAGAAGTAAAGGGGCAACATTTTGCTTCAGCAAAAATCTATGACTTACGTTCCTGCCATCCTGGTACAGGAAGGTTTAAACAGAATGTGTAATGGGAGCATTGCCTTTGCCAAATCAAGTAAGTGACAGGTTAACTAGACAATGTGACACTCACATTTCCTGTTAGCTCAGATAATTCTGTTTTTCCAAAGCTTTAGCAGCTTAATTAAATCTGTTGGACTGGGGGAGGAGAGAACTGTTCTTTAGTGGTTAACATGGTATTCAAGAAGAAAAAAACAAAGCCAAAGAAAACTCATTATCTGGCAAGTTTGCCTTAAAGATGGTAGTGGGTAGAATCTGGAATTTTAACCTCTTTTCAAAGCTGCCTATCTAGCTGGGTGTGGTGGCACACACCTGTAGTCCTAGCACTTGGGAGGCTAAGGCAGGAGGATCCCTGTGAGTTCAAGGCCAGCCGGGCTACACAGTGAACTCAAGATGAGCCTGAACTACATAGTGAGACCCTGTCTTAAAAAAAGAAAAAATTGCCTATCTCACATTCAGTGTGGACCTGTATGCCTAGTTATTTCAGGTGGAATTCTAGCTGTATTTTTAAATTTGAGTAAGGGTTTTGTGCATTTAACTTCTTATCTAGCTTTGTTTATCCATAATGACATTCTTACCACAGAGGTCTTGACAAAGCAGAGTAAAATATGCTGTTTAAATAGCTTATTTGTAATAAATGCACCTGAAATATATTTTTTACATCTAATACAGACTGTGATTTACTTGCATTGTTGTCAGTATCAGTTATGAGACTGAAGTTTGGTGTCTCCTTTTTATCATGTTTTTTCCCTTGTAGCAGTTGTGTTTAATGTCATTAAAAAGAAATAAAAGTTCTTGTCAGTGGCATATGTGCTGTAGCCGTCTGTTGCGGGCTTGGAGGAGGGTTATTTGCCTTCCTCTCTTGCGTAGGTAGGTTAGTGGGATATGGGAGGGCGGTGGCATTTAGTAGAACATGGTTCTGGGAAGGCAGGAATGGTTGCTTCTTTTGAGGGTAAATTACAGTGTTGAGGAAGGTGTTCCAGCAGTTAAGAAATTCTGAAATTGATTGGGATTTGCAGCTACATACGTGCGTGTCAGGAGCCTGACACAAGCAGAGCCTGAAATATCACTGCTCCTGTTGCTGCAGAGGGTGAGGGTGGCTCAGCCCTTCGCAGGCAGGCACTGCTTTGTGTTCCTTCCCATGTCTGTGTGGTTGGCCACTGTGTCTTTGTGTCCCACAGCCAGCACTGATTAAAAAGAAGTCATACTATTCCTGGGCATTCTCCCTTTAAGGATTAGAGAACCCAGAATTGATAGTACTGTACAAATTTGATGGCTGTTCTTCACTTCTTAAGAACCTGCTGCTTCAAGAACCTGTGGTGAAAGTTGGATAAGTGTGGATAGATGTGGGAGAGTGTGTTCCGTAGATTATTTTTATGAATCTAAGCTCTTAGACCTGCCCCCAGGAGCAAAGATGAAAGGACAGGCAATAATAGCTTGTCACCTATATTAAAGCCCAGGTCTTGGAAATCTCAATTCATGCAGGGAAAATCAGTAGCAACATATTTGAACAGACTCACTAGCCTGCTGTTCTGTAAGTGTTGTCTAGTATATAAATTCTAGACAAAGAATTTTCAGGTATAGGCTCAGTGTAAGTGTACTGAGGACCCAGCTATTGGATATTCTTGTCTCAGTCTGAGATATTACACATACCCATTTTATTCCTGTCAGGTGTGGATGATCATCTGCCTGATAATTATTTCCTTTTTAGTGGTGTGTTAGCACTCTAGGCATCAAAGTTTTCAGAGACTAGGCTGAATTCTCTGAGGTGATAGTGTCCCCTACACTCAGTTCATTTTATGTTATAAGAAAATGCAAGGAAAGGGGAAAATGGACCTTCTTTAAAAGGAAAGGGGCTCATTCTCCGACAAGGCCATGTTGAGCTTTTATAGGAAAGGAAAACCCAGCCACATAAAACTAGAAAGCCATTGTTACTGCTTTTTATGTTGTTCTTCCTTTCTTAGAATAAACAGAATTATTCCTTAGCTGATTTCAGAGTAGGTTTATATGCCAGAACACCTGTCAGGAAAAAATTCCCACTTGTCACAGGAAGTGTCAGCTGATCACTATTGGAATGCCTTAATGAACAGACTTGCCTTGTCATTCCTTCCCTCCTGTTCTCCTGTAACAACTGGAACATGCCACAGACAGAAACTCTGGCATTCCCAGCACCCATTGAGGAGATGGGATGTGATTGGGGGTGAGGATTGGCAGTACCCATTGAACCCAGACAGCACTAAGTTACAGCCCCTGTCCATTTTAATTTTTTTGAGGCACTGTCTCAGTTATCTAGTTATCAGTTGTCTCAGCTAACCTTGAATCTGAAGCCTTCCTGCCTTAGTCTTCCAAATAGTGGGCCACTTTGTCCCTCTTAGAATGTGGTCTTTTGGATCACAGTAACTAAATCTAAATGATAGCTCTGAAATTTATCAAGAGACTATTTGTATACAAAGATCTTCACTGTAGATTCAAGCCACAAGATTTTTTTTTTAAACTGGTGCAGCTGGGGACCTGGGGATATGGCTCAGTAGAATAAGCACTTGCCTGGCAAGCACAAGGGCCTGAGTTCAATCCCCTGTTACGCAAAAAAAAAAAAAAAAACTGGTGCAGCTGGAGTTGAGGGAGGCAGAATGTCACATTTATAGAAGCAATTTGGTTTTGGAGACTACTTATTAAAATGCAAGATTAAAAAATGTTAAATAGGGGCTGGTGAGATGGCTCAGTGGTCTAAAGCACCTACTTAGAACAAACTAAGCCAAGCCAAGCAAAGCAGAGGGACCGCGGTTCAATCCCCCAGCACCACATGCCAGCCAGCCCTGCCCCCTGGTGGGCTGAGCTGGCCACACACACACACAAATAAACACACAAATAAATAAATAAAAATAAATATTTAAAAATAAAAAAAGTAAAAAGAAAGATTAAAAACTGTTAAATAGGGGCTGGTGAGCTGGCTCAGTGGTCTAAAGCACCTACTTAGAACAAGCTTAGCAAAGCACAAGGACCGCGGTTCAATCCCCCAGCACCACATGCCAGCCAGCCCCACCCCCTGGTGGGCTGAGCTGGCCACACACACACACAAATAAATAATTTTTTAAAAATGTTAAATAGGTTTAAAGAGGGCTATATAGAAGTCTAAAATATAATGGATTGGTGAGATACTACATATTTCTGTAAAAGGGTGAATTAGAGATTTTTTTTTTTTCCTAAATGGGCTCTAGAAGAGGCCTAGGAGAAAAGGAATCTTGCCACCCAGAAAAGCTCACCAATCTGTTCCTCCCTTCAGACCTCCTCTTGTTCCTAGGACACCCCCAGGCCTATACCCTAAGAAGTGTATGACTCTGGTTAGCTTCCATTCTAACCTTTTTTTGGTACAAAGGAAAAGACCAGCTAGAGAAGAGACAGGTGTTAGGCAGTTCTGGCTAAGTCGGCCTCAGTCCGGCACTCCTCCTACATACAGGCCTGTTTGCCTGCTCTCCAAGAGCTGCCTGAGTCCTCCCCAAGTTGTGAGCAATCTCTGTGGATCCTTCATAGCTGCAGGGTTTGGATTTGCAAATAGCTGTTTAGGGAGACAAGGAAGGAATGGAGTTTTATCTAAGTGTCATTTGCTCCTGTACTCTAGACACAGATGAATCTGAAGACAGCCCTGATAGCACAGTTCTCAAACCCCACTAACAGTTGCCTCTACCTAATCCTGGCTTGAGGGCTTCTCCATTTGGGCCTATGAAGTATTTATTTTCACTGAGGTCTGGCCTAGAGTGGTGTGTGGCCCTAGCCTGCCCTAATCCCTGCTCATCTGACATTTTCTAAACAAGGCCTTCCTGGCCATGGATGAGGATGTTTGAAGTGCCCGATTTATTGGTTTGCTCATTGGCTAATGCCATTACTCTGCCTTTCAGCTTGCTGTTAAGATCATAGTGATGCTCGTTAACAGCCCAGAACTATGGCTGTGAATGCTGAGCAGCCTTTGCAGATCCTCTTCACTCCTTCCTTACTCCAGTGGGGGCGGGGGTGCATTCCTTTGCCCAGGGAAAGCATGCGGCCCTATCCAGAGAGGAAAACCCTTTGTTTTTAAAAACAGCACCAGCCTGCATACCTATGCAGTGAGACAGCCCAAGCTGGGCTTGGGAGAGCCTCAGAAAGAGGATGATGGAGCAGCTATTTTCTTCTCCTACACGTGCACCCCCATCTGTTCAAGAATTCCCTTCCAACTCCAGCTTGGCTGGCAGGCATGTCCCTAAGAAACTGCAGGCCAAAATGGAACAGAGAACTGATTCCCTCCTCCACACATCCTGACTTGCTGCCAATTGCCAGAAAAAGAGGGCAACATTTGGGCATTTACCAGGAGACAAGGATGTGCCTTTTCATTTGTCTTTTTATTTTACATTTAAAAAGTGGTTATTGCTCTAACTGTATTAGAGGTAAGGACCTCTCCTGTGAGGAGCCTTGGCCTCGCAGCCCCATTCAGCAGGGATGGAAGTCACAAGACAATGAGTGGAGCCTCATGCCTTCCCATGAGGAAGCCCTTGGTATTGCTGACATCTGCCTTTTATCCTGTCTCTCCTCCCCTGTGCTGCCACGCTTGGCCGAAGCTGTGGTGGCTGAGCCAGCCTGGAGAGCTCTGAAAGACTGGAGGGAAGGGATGGTCACTGGGTGATGGCTTGCAGCTCTGTCTTGGAGGCCAGTGCTCTTCACACTCAGCACAGCAAATATTCCCAAGTGCCTGCTGTGCATCAAGCTCGTGCTAGGCACATCCTCCACCCTCCTCTTCTTGGCCACCAACGGAAGACGCAGAGTCCACCTCTTCCCATGCAGGCATCCGGGCAGTGGTAACACCTCAGTCCCAGAAGAGTCTTGTTTTCCCTCATCAAGCACCATTGTTTGTTTTTTAACCAGAAAGGGGCAGTGGAGAGAGAGACCTGTCACCTCATACCACTCAGGCTCTAGGGAAGGACATGCAGACTCTGGGTAACCGTCACAGAATCTGGATGAGATGGAAAGATATGAAGACTCTAGAGGCTAATTGTGACAGCCAGGCTGCTTGGCCAGTCTGTAGTGAATGGCTTAGGCCTGCTTTCCAGCAACTTCCACTCCACAGTGGATGGGTCAGCAGTCCCCCGGATATAAAATGTGGATGTGCCTTTTCAGTTGCCCCAGCTAGCACTGCTTAAACTCCAAGAGATTCCTCCTCAAAAACAGAACTAGTACCCTCCAGGTCTTCTTCAACCCCCAGACTGATGATCTTACCGTGAAAGTAAATGTCAAGACAGACAACCAGCTTAACTCTTGAAGAATCCTCTGTCCTCTGGAATGGAGCCCTTCAATTTTGTTTTTCAAAAGAGACAAAACAGGAAACCTCTTACACACTCACAAAGGTGCATATCACACAACAAACGGGTCTCTGATGGCTACATCTAGAAAAGGCTTGATGACAGCCATGAGCCTGCACAGCGGGCCGCTCCATGGCATCCTCCAGTGCTCCTTGGTCTAAAAAACAGCTTGAGTCAGTCTTCGTGCTTTCCGTCTCCCAGAGCGCTTGCTGTGCATTTTCTCAAGGAGGAAGCCAGTCCAGGAGCGATGAGGAGGCAGAAGCTGTCTCATGCAGCTTTGCCTTTTTCCAGGCTGGGGCCAGACCTTTTAGTTTTGTGGCTTATTATTATTTTTTGCAGAATTTGGGTTTGTAGTTCAGAACTCTTTCATCAGACTGAGGGAAGAAGGAGAACTGCAGCTAGCTGTGCCTCCTCCCTGACTGCAGTTGGCCCTCTCCCAGTGCCCAGGACCCGTGGACCAGCAGAAAAGAAAAATGAAATCCTTCTCCCTGCAGACAGGCAGTCATGCTTTGATGATGTTCACTGAGGGCTTGTTTGGAAACTGGGAGGAAAGAAATGAGAGAAGTGGCCAAAGCTAATCGAACAGACTTCTTGCAAGGTGAGAAACAGGGCCTAAGGAAGATGGGAGCCAGCAGGGCTACAGCCTAAAAGCCTGGCTCTTATCCCTGTGGGAAGAGCAGCCCTCCCTGGAGGCTGCATCTGTCTGCTTTTTCCAACCCAGCCTTCAGCCTCACTCAGTGGCCACAACTGAATCCTGGGCTCAGAGCCCTGGTACCTCCATCTTTCCCAGCAGTCGTCCCTCTGGCTGGTTTGCTCATCTTCTGCAGATCTGCCTCTGGGCATAGCCTCAGCCACTGACATTGTTGAGGTGTTTCTGGAAATAGGGGGCAATAAGAGGCTTCAGGAAAAGGTGCCAGAAAGAGAGAAGCCCGGAGAGACAGAGGACAATAAGCTGGAGGATACAAAGTGGGGGGAGGAGGAGGTGCACGGAGGGCTGGAGGTTGGTTGGATAATCATCGTCAGAATCATGAGATCCTCTCATTCTCTACTGTCTTCTGAGCCGCTCAAGGCAAGCACTGAAAGGATTTCATATCTGTTTTACAGAAAAGGAAAAGAGGTGAAGCACCTGCCCAAAGCACACAACACAGCAGGAGCAGAAATGCGCCCTGCATCCCCTACTTCTGCTGCCCCACACCAACCAAGAATTCTGCCCTCCCCATTCTGCCTTTTTTTTTTTTTTTAAGTCACCATTGGCCCCTGGCACCCTGCAAAGGGAGAGAATCCAAAATCAATTTGCAGTGTCCCCTGTGTCACACAGGCAGCAGCCAAAATTGGCTCTGCCAGATGCAACCACGCCAGGCCCAGGGCTGACCCCTTCTGCAGTCCAGGCCCGCAGCGCACAGACAGGGGGCCACCTGCCGGTCTAGATCTTGGCCTCACCTTGCTGCGGAGGAGCCCCCCACCCTGGTGCTCTGGAGTGCTGGTTTCAGATGCACTCTTAGTTTTCTCCTTGTTGTTATTGGGTTCATTGTCCTTGATAATGTCATACTGGCGGCAGAAGAGGGCAATGACACCTGGGAGGACAAGTGGGAGCAGTCAGAGGCCAGGGCCTGGTTCCCGCTTCATTCCTATCTGTGCTTGCAAACAGTCTCTCCAGATGGTCTCCCCTGCACGACTTCAGCAGCCACCCTCCCGCCCCTGGCTTCTGCTCCCCTTGTCCCCTGTCAGCCATCCTTTGCTGCTGAGCCGATCTTCCTACAGCGTGCATCTGATCTCGTCTCCTCCCCACCTTTCCCACCTTTCCTGCAAACCTCTGACAGAGCCCCTTTTTCCTTAAGGGGAAAACAGAAACAATAGCATTTGGTGCGCAGGTGCCAGGCCTTGCGCTGTGTGGCCAGACATCTTCTCTCAAGCCACACAACTCAGGAAGTGCACCTTTTTTTTTTTTTTTTTTAATTTTTTATTTATTTGTGTGTGTATGTGTGGCCAGCTCAGCCCACCAGGGGGCGGGGCTGGCTGGCATGTGGTGCTGGGGGATTGAACCATGGTCCCTGTGCTTTGTTTAGCTTAGCTTGTTCTAAGTAGGTGCTTTAGACCATTGAGCCATCTCACCAGCCCCAGGAAGTGCACCTTTTTCCACTTTATAAGTGAGGACATCTGGGCCCAGAGAGTTGAACTAACTTATTTCAAGGTCACATTGCAGGATAGCTGGGAGCTGAACTCCGCAGCCTCCAGGGCCTGTTAAATGTCTAGTTTTATTAAGCTCGTAGGATGGAGACAGCCTATCTTTTGAGTCTGTTTTTATTTATTTATTTATTTTTACTTTTTTTTTTTTTGGCAAAACCAGGGGTTGAACTCAGCCCCTTGCGCTTGCCAGGGAAGCGCTTATTCCACTGAGCCATCTCCCCGGCCCCTACCCCAATTCTTATAAATGTTTTCCCTCATTTTACTTCTATGTTTATAGTGTTATTTCGTGATCTATTTTAGATATCTGCTGACTCCCCACCGTAGCAGATAAAACCCAGCAACACCCCTTGGTCCCCCTCCATTATTCTATCAGAATTAAACCACAAGTTCCGGTGAAATTCACCTTTTAGATTGTTATGATTGTGTAAACACTGTCTGTGCCGAGTCTAACAATGTGCTGTAAGCAAACCTCCTCTTTATACAACTCCTTGTTTTTCTTGCTTCTTTTAAGTGCCTATTTTTTATGTGCTTCAGGAACATTCCTTTCCAAATGCTTGTTCAACAGAGTCTGCCCTCTGAACCGCTGTGCTGATCAGGTTTTCCCACAGTACTGAAATCTCAAAGACTTCATCCATGGTCTCACCAATCTTTACTCCCTCACACTCTACCTTCTTTCATAGGTCTTAGCTGTACTGGGCCACACTGAGTTTAGCTTGTTTTTTGAACACACCATGTCCAGAATACCCTTCCTCTTGCAGCTGTTTGGTTAGCTCCTATTTATGCTTCAAAGCCCTATTCCCATGTTACCTCCACTTTAATTTTCTTGGTTTCTACTCTTAACTCCAGAATTAATTCCCTCTTTTCTGCTCCCATGCTTGATACTATTATAGTGCTCATCGCACCAAATTGTAGTGAAGCTTGAGCCTGTCTCCTTCCAAAATGAGTTCCTTAGAAGATTAGGGATTTTGTTCAAAATTTTCTTTTATTTTTTAAGATTTGGTTTGGTACAGGGTCTCACTGTGTAGCTCGGACTCATAGTGATCCTCCTGGCTCAGCCTCCCCAGTGCTGGGATTACAGGCATGTGCTACCATGTCCAGCTGTAGTGGCCAGCCAAACAGCATGGCATGTGGTACCAGGGATCGAACCCAGGTCCTTGAGCTAGCCAGGCAGACCGCTGAGCTATCTTCCCAGCTGACCCAGGGATAGTTTCTTTCTGTCTCTGTCTCTGTCTTTCTTTCTGGTACTGGGACTCAAACTCAGGATCTCATACTTAGCAGGCAGGTACTGTGCCATTGAGCTAAATCCCTGGCCCCGCCCCGAAATGTTCTTAATCACAACTGTAATATAATTGCTTGAATGGAGTGGCTGCTCAGTAAATGCCAGCTGAATTGAACTACACTTGGACATCTTCCTTAGGGAGCTCACAGACTACTTGGAAAAGACAGCCCTGAGCCTGACTAACTTACATAAGAAGGGCTGAAGGAGCAAACCATGTGCCGCAAAGCACAGAGGCCGGAGGGCCATTCCACTGGGTGGACGGGGGTTTCCAAGGCAGCAGGCTCGCAGCTGGCCCAGAAGGATGAGGAGGTAAGGCGCGTGGCCCAAACTTGAGGGCAGGCAGTAACTTTCCCAGGCTGCCCAGGCCTGAAGCCTGAATGGCTATAAAGAAGAAGGAGACGTTCGGCCATGGCCAGAAAATAAGGGTCTGTGGAGGTGTCCACCTCAGGAGGCTAAAATGCTTTTGAGGGGAAAGGTGAGTTCCTCCATAATTCCATAAGGCAACCAGTAATACGCTATGTTTTTGGTAAGGGAGGGACTATAGAAATGATCAGATCTGACCCTCACAGCTGTCTTTACTTCTCTTAGCTCTCTTCAAGCTCCTTCCCCTTAATTACTGTGAGAAAAGGATCTGGTCAGGGTCCCCAGGGTCCCCACAGATAATTAATAGAAGAAGGGTTCAAAGGCCAGACTCACCTGCCCACATGAACAGGACCACAACAATGATCAGCACCTCCCCTGTCCGCAGCTGTTGATTCCTCCCCATCTCCTTCATAGTCACCTCATCTGCGGAGAAACAGACACTAGGCCAGGGCTCCCCTGTCCTCTCCCAGCCATTCTTCGAGGGCTAAACTCACAACACTAAGTGCTTATCTGGACTGGTGCCCACACACCTATCACAAAGAGATCCAAGCACATAGTGACAGTTACCTAGGGTGACAGCTACTGGACTCAATCCAAACATGAGAATTATATAGCAAGTATCCCGGGGGACTCTCAGGTGCTGCTGTGCTTAGTTGTGATGGGGACAGGGAGAGGTGTTGACATACCACCCACTGCTCTGGCCCCAACTGCCCCTACCCTACTCCTCCATGCCCAGGGCCTGCCTTTGTTCTTAGAGGCCATCTTCTCAGCTTCACGTGGGGTCTTGAAGAGCACCGGCTCACTAGCTGGGCTCTGCCCCTGAATGGAGATGGCCTGCACGTGCACGATGTACTCTGTGTCCTCCTCCAGGTCCCACAGGGCGCATGAGCGGGTGGTAGTGTTCACTTCCTGGATGAAGCGCAGCATCCTCACGTCCTTCTTCTGTAAAGATGAATGCCAGACATGTGTCAGTGCCCAGGTGTGGAACCTACATCTGCCCACTGCCCCCTAGTGCCAAACCCTTTGCCTACACAGCCATCCCAACACCTCAGGTATTATAATTTGTGGGGCTAAAGAAACAGGTTCAGGGAGGTTAGGGAAGTTGCCCAAGGCTCTGTATCTAGTAAGAACTGGAACCAGGTCCTAAACACTATCTGAGCTGTCCCAGCTGAAAGCTTCTGTTCTCTCTACAAGGGACCAAGGCCTTTCCGAGGCTCCAGTTTCAAGCTGTATGTGCAGATTGCAGCCCATCTCTCTTGGTCTGTGTTCCTTTTTTCCTATTTTTTGAAACACCAACATCCTTCACCTAATCTGACACTTTCAACTTGTCCTTCCCTCCCAAGGACCCTCAAGAGGTTACCTGCTGAGAGATAGCAAATCCAATGACAACTTCATCTTCCAGGACATCCCAGCTGACCACTGCAGAGTTGGCCTTGAGGTGCCTGACAGTGACGTTCACTGGTGCTGAAGGGCTGTCTGTGGGGCAGGCAGGCAGCAGAGCTTGAGCATTCCCTGTGGTGAGCCCACCCAGCGGCGTCATGAGTGAGAGGGGGAAGCCTGAGAAGGCCTTGCTTTGTCGGGGGAGGGAGGAGACCAAGGTCTCAACTGTGGTTGGCTTCGTGGCTCTTGGTTCCTTGGTGGCTTGAGAAGCCTCAGGCTTCTTGTGTCTGGGATGCAGGTCCTTGTTGGCCATAGGCCTGCCTGAGGGCTCCAAGGCTAAAACTGATGATCTTGAGCCAGAGCTAGATCTAATGGGTAAGTTCAGGGGGACAAGTAAAGGAAGGGACTTAAGTAAGCAGGGTCACAGAAGCTGAATTTGACCAAAGCAGTCAAAAGGATTCCCAGTCCATTATAATCCTGTACTGTCAAGGGAGTGACCTTGAGAAAAGGAGAAAGACCCAGAGGTCAAGAAGGGCTAGGCCGGGGAAACCCTGGAATGTGGATAAGGGCCAATGCAGGAAGGAAATAGCCAGCTTCGGAGGGGCCTCTGTGAGCCCTTTCTCCACATCTGCCAGCCCTAAGGGGTCGGTCAAGAAGAGAGTAGGAAGGAGAGTGACAGGGAAGGGGGATCCAGGCAGGAAGAATCTTCCAGGGGAGAGGAGTAGAGTGACACAAGCCTCTGTCTCCCAAGGGGCAGATGCCTCAAGGGGAAAGACATGGGCCCAAGCAGGAGCCTTTCAGTTCACAGATAAAGTTAAGGCCCAGAGGCTGGGCCAGACATGGAGATAGACGGGACGAAGGACATAGACAGGTGGCGGCAGACAGACCAGAGAGCAAAGTAGAGGGCTAGAGATAGACAGAGACAGAAGCAGGGTAAGAGTGCTGAGCCACAGAGAGATAGATGAGTACTGGGAGAGACAGTGATGAGGCAGCTGCAGCCAGAAGGGACAGAGACGCATGTCAGGTGAGGCTGCACCCCAGGGTGTGGGCCAGACACTGATGAACCGGGCTCCGAGGCCCTTCTCCCCCTCTCCCCCTCCCCCGCCTCTCCCCGCCCCCCCAGGAGCCAGTTTGCAACCGTTTTCAGACACACACACACTTCTACATAACAGATGTATAAAGTTGGCTAGTGGAGCTTTGAGAGGTCTTTGGGGACAGAAAAGGAGGCCCGAGGTGGGGGGGAACTGATGTCCTCATCTGCTCTCTAGACCACAAAAGGGGACCATGGAACCCAAGGCAACGATCTGGGATGAAAGGATGGGGGTTACACCCTGGGGATCACAAACCCCTGAAAAACGGGGCCTGAGGTCATGCAAGGAGTTTGAAGGCTGAAGGACAAGTCTGGGGTCAAGAAGGTAGGGAAGCCTTGGGCTTGGGTCAGGTGAGCAGCTAGCAACTGAGACAGGCAGTCCCCGGGCAGCAGGGAGGGAACCAGGTCTTCCGGGGAGCAGGGGCAGGAAAGGAGGCTGCCCCGGCGCCCGCCCCCCGCCCCGGGCCCCCTTACCCGCCTGCACCAGCGCG